TCTTGACCACTGCTTCCATAAGTGCTGATGGTTGATCCAAGCAAAATGAAGTCTTTGACAACTTCAATCTTTTCTCCATTTATATGGATGTTTATTGGTCCAGTGGTGAGAATTTTTGTTTTTGTTTTTAATTGAGGTGCAACCCATACCAAAAAGGCTGTGGTTTTTGACCCTCATCAGTTAAGTATTTTAAGTCCTCTGCACTTTCAGCAAGCAAGAGTATATTATCTGCATATGGCTGGTTGTCAATGAGTCTTCCTCCAATCCTGATGCCATGTTTTACTTCATATAATCCAGCTACTTGGGTTACGTGCTCAGCATACAGACTGAAAGAATATATCCTTGGTGCACACCTTTCCTAATTTTAAACCATTCAGTGTTTCCTTGTTCTGTTTGAACAACTGCCTCTTGGTCTATGTACAGGTTCCTCATGAGCACAATTAACCATTCCAGAATATTTATTTTCTACAATGTTGTCCATAGTTTGTCATGATTCACCCAACTAAAAGCCTTTGTGTACTCAATAAAGCACAGGTGAACATCTTTCAGGTATTCTCAATTATCAGCCAAGGTCCATCTGACATCAGCAATGATATCCCTCATTCCATGTCATCTGAATCTGGGTTGAACCTCTGGCAGCTCCCTGTCAATGTACTGTTGCAGCTGATTTTGGATTATCTTTAGCAAAATTTTACTTGCATGTGAAATTATATTGTCCTATGATGCCCGCATTCCACTGGGCCACTTCTCTTTGGAATAGGTACAAATGTGGTTTTTTTCTAATCAGTTGGCCAGGTGGCTGTCTTCCACATTTCTTAGCACATATGAGGGAGTACCTCCAGTGCTGCATCAGTTTGTTGAAAATTTTCCATTTTTATTCCATCAATTCTGGGAGCCTTGTTCTTTGCCAATGCCTTCAGTGTACCTTGGATTTCTTTCTTCAGTATCATTGGCTCTTGATCATATGCTAACTCTTCAAATGGTTGACCATCGGCTGTTTCTTTTTGGTACAGTAACTCTGTGCATTCCTTCCATCTTCTTTTGATGCTTTCTGCATCATTCAATATTTTGTCCACAGAATCCTTCAATATTTCAAGTTGAGGTTTGAATTTTTTCTAAAGTGCCTTCAGCTTGAGAAATGCTGAACATGTTCTTCCCTTTTGGTGTTCTAACTCCCGATCTTTTCACATTTCATTATAATATTTTACTTTGTCTTCTCGAGCTGCCCTTTGAAATTTCTGTTCATCTCTTTTACCTCCTGATTTCTTCCATTTTCTTTAGCATCTCTACATTGGTGAGCAAGTTTCAGTGTCTCTTCTGACATCCATTTTGCTTTCTTCCTGTATGATGTTCTTGATGTGAATCCACAACTCTTCTAGTCTTCAGTCATTAGTGTGTAATACATCAAATCTGTTCTTGAGATGATCTCTAAATTTAGGTGGGATATGTTCAAAGGCATATTTTGGCTCTCATGAACTTATTTTAATTTTTTTTAGCTTCATTTCATATGAGCAATTAATGGTCTGTTCCACAATCTGCCTCTGGCGTTGCCCTGACTTTTCACCATCTCTTTCCACATGTAGTCAATTTGATTTCTGTGTATTCCATTATGTGTACAGTCACCATTTATGTTGTTTAAGAAGGTATTTGCAATGAAGAAGTCATTAGTCTTGCAAAATTCTATCATGCGATCTCCAGCATCGATCCTGTCACCAAGGCCGTATTTCTAATGATGGATCCTTCCTCTTTATTTCCAACCTTTGCATTCCAATCTCCAGTAATTAGCAATACACCTTGATTGCACATTTGATCATTTCAGACTGAAGAAATTAGTAAAATCCTTCAATTTCATCATCACTGACTTTAGTGGTTGGTGAGTAAATTTGAGTAATAGTTGTATTAAATGGTCTTCCTTGTAGGCATATGAATATTATCCTATCACAGACCGCATTGTACTTCAAGATAGACCTTGAAATGTTCTTTTTGATTATGAATGCAACACCATTCTTCCTTAATTTGTCATCCCCAGCATAGTAAACTATGTGGTTGTCACATTCAAAATGACCAATACCAATCCATTTCAGCTTACTTATGTCTAGGATATCGATGCTTATGTGTTTTATTTCATTTTTGACAACTTCCAATTAGCCTAGATTCATACTTCCTATAGTCCATGTTCCAAATATTAATGGATGTTTACAGCTGTTTCTCTTCATTTTGAGTTTGTCTGTAGTAGTTGACAGAGTGTCAGTCACACAGAGGAAGACACTAAATGAGATGAACTGATACAGCAGCTGCAACCATGGGTTCACACATAACTAGTTTGAGGATGGTTGCAGAACACTATATACATCATATACAGGGCCACTACAAGTCAGAACTCACTCAGTGGTACCTAACAACAATCTGAGAAAGGGAAGAGATATTTGAAGGAGGAAAGAATTTATTAGATTTCCCAAAAGAATTTCCAAATATTTCATGAAGAAGTACAAGCAGAATGCACTTTGGAAGCCTGGATGATGAGAATTTGCCTCTCACATTTCGGACATGTCAGGAGAGACCAGTCCCTGGAGAAGCATATCATGCTAGGTAAAGTGGGAGGTCAGTGAAAATGAGGAAGATCCCCAATGAGATGGACTGACACAGTAGTAACAGTAATGGGCTCAAACAGAACAACAATTGTGAGGATGGTGTATAACGCAGCAGTGTTTCAATTTGTTGTTCACAGGGTCACGAGGAGTCAGAATTGATGTGATGGCACCTAACAACAACAACAACACACTGTCAGTTTACACTCACCTTTGTTGTTGTTGTTTTATGTGCTGTGGAGTCGGTTCCGACTCATAGCACTAGGCACCTGGAAAAAGAATTGAAGAGGATGGCAATAAGGTAAAAACCTTCTCAAGAAAAAAAAGAAACAATGCTAGAAAAAGAAACTGAAGCTAATTTTGGTACTAAAATAAATTGTTTCATTTCTAATATAAACATCTCTCTCATGGGAGAGAACAAAAAGAAATCTGAGTACCTAAAATGAAGGGGGGCGATAAAGGCACGAAGTGACTGGTTTACAAGGTTTCAAGAGGGAGTTTAGTTTAAGAGTATGTGGGGGAAGAAAGAGTCCCCACTGAATAGTGTTCATATTGTCTAGATGGGTCTAGTTAAAAGAGATGGGGATAAGATTCTTAGGATTCAATAGTGAGTAATTGTTATCATGACTAATTGTGACTGTCACAACTGTAAAGGTAGAAGTTTTGTAACAAAAATGGGGGAGTAGTTAATCTTACAGTCCAGAAACAGAGGATCCTAGGACCATCAAGGGAGAAGAGCACAAGCAGCATGCGGGACGGTATCCAGAGAAGCAGCAACACCAGAGATGGGGACATGGACAGAGGGAGCAGCTGAGGACTCTAGATTCATGGGAAGAGAGGAACTGAAAGCCAGGAGGCCGACTTGCAGAATTAGAGAGAAATACTGTTAACTGATGGTACATGGAGGAACAAGGTGTATGAATGTGAAACTGATGATTTACCCTGTAAACTTTCACTCAATTTACAATAAAAACTTAAAAAAAAAAAAAAAGAAAAGAAATCTGAGATCAGAAGTTTGAGAATGTCATTTTATTTACTCTACAAAAAAAATTATTTAACTCCATATTTGTACAAGCATTTTAAGTGTTTATTTAACTTTGTTGTTGTTGTTATGTGCCATGGAGTTGGTTCCAACTCATAGTGACCCTGTACAGGGTTTCCAAGGCTGTAAATCTATAAGAGAGCAGAAAGCATCATCTTTCTCCCACGGAACAGCTGGTAGTTTCGAACTGCTGACCTTGCGGTTTGCAGCCCGATTCGTAACCACTATGCTACCAGAGCTCCTTTTATTTAACTTTAGGCTTTGTTTATGAGTATGGCTTTGAAACTGGCACACATAAAGTAAGGAGGCCTGGTAGCATAGGGTTGAGCACTCGGCTTCTCACTAAAAGATCAGTTGCTTGAACCCACCAGTTGCTCTGAAGAAGAAAGATGTGGTAGTCAACTTTTATTAAGATTGTTGTTGTTGTTGTTGTTGTTAAGTGCCATTGAATCAGTTTTGGAAATTTCTACTCTATCACAATCAACTTGACGGTAATGGGGAAGAGATAACACACAAAACTGGTTTTATTATGCTTTTTACCACTATTTAATTTTACAAATTATAGTTCAGACACTTTTAGACTAGGCTTATACACTATAAAAGATAAGGAAATGTGACCATGATTAAACTAAAAGATAAGACCTAAAGAAAAAAGATATTACCAAGCAGGGTAGATTTCCAACACATTGAAATGAACAGAGTGGGAAGTGAGTGGGCAGGGCACAAATGAAAACATTCTTCCCACTCATGCTACTAAAGCAAAAACCAAACCACACAATCCAGGAGATTCCAACTCACAGAAAGCGTCCTCGTTCTGCTGAGCAATGGTAGAATTGAACTGCTGACCTTGTGGCTAGCAGTCCAATGAGGAACCCACTATGCCACCAAGACTTCTTACTCATGACCACTAGATGGTGCAAGTATTTTGCAGGACTTAAACTGAATGCAAGCACTCAAAGCTGAAGGAAAATTCCCAAAGAAACTAAACTTGATTCTAGGAAGAAGCGGAAAATAACTGTGCCGCCTGGGATTGTCGAGTCATTTGTGTGTGTGTGTGCTTTTGGTTGATTTGTATTTGGCTTTGTCCTGGATAAATGCTTTGAGTCTGGATATTTTAGCCTCTCTGAGTCAGTAGCATTCTGATTAATGGGAGCTTGGCATGATGGTGGTGATGAAGAGCTGTGTGTCTTTGTAGTCCTGGAAATAACTCAATTCTAACATTCCTACAGAAACAAAATATTCTGAGAGTGAAGCACTATAAGGAAAATTCTATCTTCAAAATAATTTTACTATGAGAAATACTAAATATGTAATGCAATGTGCTAGGAGTACTTCATAAGCAAAAAAAAAAAAAAAAAAAGAGTACTCACTTGAATTAGGGGGCCAGGACTCCTGGTATTCACTGCCTACTTGAGTTCGGGGTGACTTGCTATGAACCTTTAGAATCACACAAAAATTGCAAGTTACGATCAATGTGGGAACTTCAGAAATTTAAATAATAAAATCTACCTAAAACAGCTATCTTTCCTACCATTCTCCTTCCACAGTATAAAAATTGAGCACATGTATCCTAACAATAATACTGTATGTTTATAAAAATCTTTCTAACTTCCAATGTACTTTCTCATACATTGTCTCACCCAGGGCTATCTGCACCAAGCTCATTTAGGGACTAGAAGGTAGGGGAGTAAGCAGCAGAGAGACTTTTTGTGGTCAAGAGTCACAATTCCTTAGACAGTTATAGAACTACCAGGAACAAGAGTCATCATATACTCGTTCCCTGGGTCATTATACCATGATGAATAGTCAGCTCCACTGAGATAAACCAGAGAAGAACAACTTTCATCTAAATTAGAGTCCCTGGCTGGTACAAACAGCTAAGCACTCAGCAGCTAGCTAAAGAGTTGGAGGTCTGAGCTCACCCAGAAGCACACTGGAAAAAAGGCCAGGCCATCTGCTTTGGAAAAAAGTCATTGGAAACCCCATGGAGCACATTTCTACTGTGGCATACATTGGGTCACCATGAGTCAGAACTGACTCAATTGTAACATTTTTTTTCCTCTAAATTAAAATTCATAAATGAAGCTTCCTTAGGAGTTTTGCCTAAAGAGACAGTACAGGAAGAGGATTACCCTCCTTTCTTGTTTCTTCTGGGTCTCCATGACATGCAGGCGTTCCATGAGGCTCGAGATGCCCTGCTCTAGGCTGTCGATAGTGTGGTGCTGAGGATCGTGGCCACCGAAGCTGTTGCGCAGGCTGCGGAGAGCATCTCGGACAAGCTGCAGGTCACTGGTCTGAGGGCAAAAACATGGTTCTATTGGCCTCGTGCAGCAGCATATTATGAACCCGGCCCCAGAAGACATAGGAGGGAAGTTTCTAAGAAAGAGCTTTCATCTTTGCAAGGGATGAGGAGAGTGATATGAATGAGAGTTAATGTTCTTCCACAACAGTGGGCTGCCACCTGTTTGCCCACCAATTCTTAATTTTAGAGATCTTTACACATCCGCCAAATGCAAGAATTAGGGAATACAAGAACAAGTCCTTGCATGCTGACTGGAGCACTATTTTGCAGTCAGCTGGAAGTGACAGGTCTGTACAGACCCCTGAAAACCTACCCCTCTAAGGGTGTTTGATGTGGCTCCTTTTCCAGACACTGGCAGGAGAAAACCATTGCTCTGAGCGTTGTGGCTGTTGTAGGTGATCACCTATAGCAGCAATAAGAAATGATGCAAATGAGGGTGAGAACGGCTGTACAACTTGGAAATTTTAATTAGTGTCACTGAATTGAACGTGTAGAAATGGGTGAACTGGTATATGTTCTGCTGTGTATATTTCAACAACAAAAAGTAAAATATACCCACTTCTTACTTATCAACACGGGTAGGTTTCAAAGGTCAGGTCGTTATAAGAAAATTGGCATTAATGGAAAATAGAGAATGACAACATCATTGCATACCTACCAAATTATATAATTAAATAACTGCCAAGCCACAGAGAACCAAAGCCCAGCCAAGCTGACACATAACCTTACCCATCACACCCAGCGTCTCGCTCAGCTCACACCTTGGCATTTATTACTGCCAGACATGCATCGTTAATGCACAAAATAATTGTGTAGTAGGGATTTTTTCACTATTGTCATAAATGCAAAATGTCAGATAATGAGACGGTAAGTGAAGTGGAGTCAGTTCCAATTCATAGAGAACCTTTATAGGGTTTCCAAGGCTGTAAATCTTTATAGGAGCTGGAAGTCTCCTCTTTCTACCATGGAATAGCTGGCAGATCTGACCTATTGACTTTGCAGTAACCCACTCCAAGCAACCCACTACACTACCAGGGCTCCTTTCGTTTCAACTTTTACAATTTTAGAAAAAAAAAAAAAAAAATTTTTTTTTTTTAAAGAAAATGAAATTATGATTGTCATAGGAGATAATTCCCAAGCCAACATGCCCTGTCTTACTTTTCTCCTTTTCCACTTATCACTTCATTTTCTCTCTATTATATCTCTGTTATGGCCTCACGAGATTTTTTTCCCCCCTTTTATTCACTGCTGTATCCCTAAGACCTGAATAGTTGTGGATTACTGAATGAATGAAATGGAAGTCCCCAAGCTAGTCTCTTCCCTGGTCACTAGAGGTCTCACACTTATGGAACGAGTCAGAAAAGCTGTTCCAACCTCACCTGCTTTTGCTTTAGCAATAAAAACATGGCAACAGCAATTACTATTTTTTTAAAAAACTAACTCTGTGCCTGGCGGACCTAACAAGACTGTATTCATATTCATTTACATTGGTTCTGTCATGTATTTATTCCTCATAAAGGCAGAGGACCACTATCTTTCCATTTCCAGGTGAGCCTTCTTCCTAAAGCTAACTGGTTAAGCCTCAAGGTTACTTAGTCAAGGTCACACAGCAAACAAGTGAGTAAAGCTGGGATTTGAACCCAGAATGTTGTTTTTAAAATTCTGGAATCTGCATTCAATCACCTCACCATATATGAAGGGGCTTCAAAAAGTTCATGGAAAAATGGACTTTAAAAATAATAGGGAAAAATTAAATGAGGTAATGGAATTGTTTCCATGAACTTTTTGATGCTCAGCTCGGAACCCCTTAGCAAACTGACCTGTAACCTTGGCTCAGCCCTGAATCAGAAACAAAATCTCCTTTCCAGGTTACCTCATCTGTCTCTCTTTTCATACGGTGAGCCAGGAGGACATCTTTGTGCTCAAGCTCCCGCTCTAGATCCACCTGCAAGGCAAACACTGAATCAGAAAAGCATTCCTTTGGGCCGAAGGGTCACTAGCCGCAAATGTTCACACCTGCTGGAAACTGGCCTCAGAGAGTTTCCGGAGTGTTTCTTCCAACTTAGCCTGGTGCTGCTGAAGGAGGCGATCCTTCTGCCCCAGCTCTTTCTGCAATGGAGACAGAACTTTCAGATATGTGGCAAGAACAAGGACACTGAACAGTTTACCCTTTGAGATGAAATTACCTCCTGAGTAAAGCAGAGCCTCAGAACAGTCCTTGCCTCAATTTCTAACAGAAAGACATTACCTACCATAATTTTCTTTCTTACACAGCTCAAAGGATTCTTGGAAGGGTAAGGAGGCAGGAAGCTACCATTTGCAGAGGGACCACTATATACAATCTGTACTAATTAGATAAACGTTAAGACTAGAACCCAGGTTTTCAGGTTCCGAGCTCTGTGCCCCTTTTCTCAGCCATACTACCCAGTCTTACTTTTCTTTGCTTTTAACTTTTTATTGCTAATTGAGTGAAGTTTAACAAACATTAGCTCTACATTCAACAAATTATGCGTTTTTGTTTCATCTCAATGATTACAATCCCCTCCTGCAGTAACAGTTACTCCACCTCTTGCCTGTGGCTCCCCTTTGCTACCTGTTCCTTAGGGCTAGTGAATCAAGGGAACACGGAAAGAGATTTCCTTGCAGAAAGCAAAGGACAGGAGAGAGTACTTATCTGCTCTTTTAAAAAACAGCAGCAATGGGCAACAATCAAGCTGCCTGTAAAAGGCCAGTTAGAAATCATTTCCAAAGTGATGACTATTCTTACTTTATATTCTCCCAAAAGCCGGTTCCGCTCATCCAGTTTCCTCTGCAAATCCACCTGCAAGAAGGGTAAGAAAGAACTCACTGGCACTGAGGTACTGTCTGCCAACTCCGTTAGGAAACCAGCTACTTACTAACCAGAGTTGGTGTTAGCAGTTAACAGTATATGGCACAGAGAGGGCATGGTTATGGTAAAAACACACAGCGTCTCTCCATGTCTTTAGTGTGATAATCAGACTGTAGAACTACAAATTAGCCTCAGTGTCTTAGTGTTTCCAAAGTTCAAGAAGAACTCAAGGATGGATCCTCCTGTGCCTAGGAACTGAAATGAGCCTGGTGAGGAATAAAGCTAATGAGGACAAGCACCCCAGAAGTCAAAGAAGAGAGATTTGGATAGTGGTTCTAACAGGGTTTCATGCCGTGTCCTGTTCTGCTACGGGACTCAGTGAGATTAGAGTTCATTCATTGGACTGACATTCTGATTGTGCAGCTCATCTTTGTCCATATTTGCTCTTAGTAGCTCTTGTTTGAGCTGAAGCACAGATTTGTCCTGTTGAGTCAATCTCTGCTGCAAGGCATCCTGGAGGGGAAAAAACAAACAAACAAAAATAATAATAATTAAAACAAACTCTACATACTAATCACTTCAGTCCCAATTAATCAATACCCAGTTATTACTAAAAGCTATTCAGTATTGAAATGTGTGTTCAGCATTTGTTCTGTCAAGCTGGAAGACAAAAGGAGTAGAAGAGTCTAGTCATAAGCTGAGCAGGGGTTGTTCTGTGCTTCTCCAAACACTTGCATTTAAAGGAAAAGCCTATCCATTGTCCTACCACACTGACTTCATTCCTGACACAGTTATACTTGACTCCACAGAAAGGGCTGGCTTCTGTTTGTTTGATTCTTAACAGCATGGTATGCTATAGTGAGAATGAGTGGCCTTTGGGATCATATAAGCTTACATTCAAACCGTAAGGGTACCACTCACTACTTTGTATACTTGACACTGGACAATCTTCCCTTTCTTCCCTCCCACTTTGGCTTTCTCATCAATATCTGGGCATATAAATCCTCAATTTATTAGTTATTTTTCTTTCCACCTTCTTGCCCAGTCCCCATTTTCTAGAGGCTGGACCCTATCCATTCCCACTCACTCTGTTCCCAAAGAATCTCTGGAATCATTCCCACCCTGTCTTTCCGAGTCCTGCCCCTGCCCCTGCTTCCACTGCCTTTCCAATACTTAGTCTGGACCAGGGTTGAGACGACACAGTTCCGCTACTCAGAACTGCTCTTGGACTGATGGTTCCTTGTCTCAGTTTTCTAGGGATCTCCCAGTTTTAGGCTCTCTTTCCCTCAGTCTGGGCTCTCTTGGTTCTCACTAGCCCTAAGAAAAGGTGACTGGTGAATACTTACCTGTAAGGGCAAGTTACTATGCATTCTTCCAACCATGGGAACTTCCTATTTTAGTATATTGGTAGTGGTGGTTGTTTACCACCAAGTCAGTTCTGACACATAGCAACACTGTATAGGGTTTCCAAGGTTGTAAATCTTCACAGAAGCAGAAAGCCTTATCTTTCTCCCACGGGTTCGAACTACTGACCTTGTGGTTAGCAGCCCAGCTTGTAACCCACTACAGTACCAGGGCTCCTTTTTCCAGTATATCAGCCCTGACTTTTCTCTTTACAAGTTGCACAGTATGTGAGAGCCCACTCATAAACAGACTGTCTGCCATGAGAGGACATGACAAAAATAGCTTAAGATATAACTGGCATCAGAAATTCAGAAGAACATTTCCTAAAGTCTGCTCCACGGGATATTTATTATTCACTGTGAATCTAAGTCTCTAGGGCATTTCTCACACTAACTTGAAGAAAGATGAAGCTGTCTGCTCCTGTAAAGATTTACGGTGGCGGCTCTCAGAAACCCTAAAGACCAGTTCTAGTATATCCTATTGGGTAACTATGAATCAGAATCAACTTGATGGCAGTGGATTTTGGGGACTTGGGTTGGATATGTGGGGGAAATCACACATACACACACACACACATATGCTGGTCATCAGTTGCCTTCAGGAATGAGAGAACTAGCTGAGTGAGGAGCAGAGCTTGAAAGGAGACTTTTCACAGTTCACCCTTATGTATCTTTTAAACTTTAAGCCATCTGAATGTATTAACGATTCAAAAACTAAGTAAATCACTGTTTGTTTTTTTAAAAAAAAGGTCTTTCTGCCCTAGAAATTTTACATCCAGAGAAAACCAAGGTGGCACAGAGGGAAATGGCAGCACTCTGCGTCAAGACTACCAGAAATAAGCCTCAATGAGAAACAAAAGTATATTCCTCAACTTGTCTCACTTCCCACCAGAAAAGTCCTTTCTTGAACAATGGCCCTGAGCCTGTTTAAGGCATCCAGCATCAATATAAGAAAAAAAAGACTGTAAGACCTAACTAACCTCCTAGTACACTCTCTCACAAGTGATAACTTTACCTCAGAGAGACTTTATTTAAAGAGGAAAAACATAGCTTTTTTTTTTTACCTTTATCCCCTGTAAGTTTCTTGCTTCTTGTTTACATTTCAGCAGCTCCTTCTGTAAACCAAATATAGTTAGATCAGATGGTAGCATCTGGGTTGCTTCAAAAGCATTACCTCATTCTATCTGTTAGAAGACAATACCCAGATGATCATTCTATGAGAAATTACCAATGGAAGCTGAAAGCCAGTCAGGTCTGATCATCATAAAGCAGGCCCCTGTGACATCTAGGCTGAACTGTGTCCAGCTGGAGAAGAGTCTTGTCAAGAAAGAAGGTATCTTCCCCAACAAGAAAGCCTACTCATCATTTAAATCCCTCTCACTAAAGTATCTGATCAGATCTTAAAATGTCTACCCCTAATGTCATTAAAGGAGTCCTGGTGTGGCACTGTGGGTTAATGCACCAGACTGCAAAGCCATTTGAACTGCAAGGTTAGCAGTTTAAGCTCACCAGCTGCTCCTCGGAAACCCTATATAGGGTCACTATGGGTCGGAATAGACTCGACGGCACTTAACAACAACAACAACGTCATTAAATCATTCTCTCAGTTCTTGAAGTTCAGCAGAGAGGGTCAGAGTGATGTTGATTCCTCCAGAGGATACTATTCTTTATGGAGTAAACAAAGGCACATTTAGCCTAATAATGAAATACTGAGTAATCAACACTCCCCCACTTACAAGATATAAATGTGAGGGTGAGTCAAAAAGTACTGCTACAAAATTATGCTGCTGCTGTGGACCATTGAGTCAGTTCTGACTCACCCAGTATAGAATTTCGAGGTTGGCCTTTAACCAAAAATATCAAAATGTGAAGCTATTGTTAGCCTCCATCTAGGTCTAGACATTTATGAAGGCGGTTTTCCAATCTTTCTAATCCCTTCTCCGAAGAATTAAACACTCTTTGATTTACGCTACATCAAAACGTTTGCAGTTGGGGCATCCTTGAGGGGCTCAGATCATGTGTCTTTTAAATGGTCTTTAAGTGTGGGAACAAAAAGAAGTGTGAAGGAGCAAGATCAGGGATGTCGGGTGGAGATGGGTTAACGAAATTCTCGAAGGAACAGACTTGGTTTTCATTGTTGAGAAAAAATTCCTCAGTGCATCTCTCATGGACTTTTTCTCATCAATGCAGTTTTCGATTCCTTTAAACTTCTTCATAATTTGCCCTCCTGGTCATCTTGTGTCCAAGAAAATCTATCAAGACTACCACGTCTATCACTACCATCAATATGTTTCTGTCTCATAACGACCCTGCATAGATTCTAAAGCTGAAGGTCTTTAAGGGAGCAGGAAGCCTCTTCTTTCTCCCGCAGATCAACTATGGGTTTGAATTGCTGACTTCGTGGTTAGCAGCCCCGTGCTTATCCCACAGTACCACCAGTCAGCACAGTCACCACAACCTTCTGCCTTGAAGTTAACGGCACAGCCGATCCTCTCAAAAGCCACTGTTTTGATTGGGCTTGTATTGGCAAACCCAAGACTCATCCCTAGTTAGGATTCACTTTATAAAATCATCCTCATTAGCTTTGCTCTTGCTTAAAAGACTGATGGAAAGATCAATTCTTTGAGCTCGCTGATCTTCACACAACACTTTTGACACCTATTGAATCAAAAGCTTGCTGAGGCCAAGATGCTCACTTAAAATTAAAAACGCCAAATCATGTGAGAGCCCAACTTCAGTAGCTCTCACATCAATAATAATTCTAAGGTCTGCTTCCACCAGTTTCTGGGCTTTAGTCACAGTGTCTTCCTTTGTCAAGGCTGACAGTCTTCCCTCTTTGGGCTCATCTTTGAGGTCTTCCCTACCTTAAACACTTAATCCATCTAAAAACTGGTATTTTATGTGAAGCCACATTCCCATAAACTTGTTGCAAATCTTCAATGATTTCAGAAGATGTCGACTTGAGCTTTATTTAAAATGTGACATTAGTTCTGACCTCAGAATCAGTTGTTTTTTTTCCATGACCAAAAAAGTATCCTTTTTTTGAAGGCATTCTAATGGGACTAAGACACTGTAATGTTACTGTTACTGAATTTGTTTGTAGGCATCTACTGATGACAGAGACATGTTTCAACATATATTGTTGGAATAACCCGGTGACTGTGTGAACTGGAACTCTACTAGCAATACTTTTGGACTTCCCCTTGTATTTGACTGTTACTAGGAAAGAGCTCTCAGGAGAACATAAATAACCCAGACCTGCTCTCTTTCTTTTCCTGTGGCATCACATCAAGAACCTGTAATTAACATATCTAAAATGGAGCTTCGGAACTTGGACTCTACACATGGCCTCAATAGTTCATCTATTAAAAATTTCAATTTGTTAGTATGTACACACCTGTGCATATTTCTTGGAAGAGGGTTAGTAATTTCAGTCACATGCCTATGTCCTAAAAGAAGTTAAGAACCACTGATCTAAAAGAATTCTGGGACATACTCATCAAAAAAAAAAACCATACTGATATTAGATCTATTTTTTCTATTAATTAAAAAGCAAATCTATGAAACATTTCAAACATATAGAAAAGTATAACTAATAATGACATAAAGACACCTATACCCACAACCAAGATCAAAAAGGAACTACCTTTTGGATCAGATGTCTCTCTTTAGTAGCGATTAGATACTTAACATGGCAGGCACCTTATGAGGGATGTTGTTTTCGTTGTGTGCTGTAGAGTTGGTTCCGACTCTTAACAACCCTGTACAGGCTTTCCGAGGCTGTAAATCTTCACGGGAGCAGAAAGCCTCATCTTTCTCCCGCGAACAGCTGGTAGTTTCGAACTGCTGACCCTGAGGTTAGCAGCCCAATCATGCAAATAAGGTGTATGGAACCCTAGCAAAGGGACTGAGCAGTTTTGCCATCCCTGAGGCAGAAAGGGGGACCAAGAAGAGATGGTAGAGAACATGTCCTTTGGACAAGGGATTCCTGGGCTGAGAACCATCTCGCCCAGGAGACAGACACAGAGCAGAGGCAGAGACTGGAAAGAGACTGCATGGTGGGCCTGAAGTAGGAGGCTTGCTGACAGAGTAGGGTGCCTCCAGGCACTTAGTGGAACTAGGTTTGCCAAACCTACAGAGCTCGAATTTGCTGATCCACAGAGTCAGAGCCAATGGTGTCAAGGATCACTGGCAGAGTGAGGTGTCCCTGGGAACTTACTGAAGAGCTGAAACACTTGCCTAAGTAGGGCATAAGCCAGGCCTCGTGGCCAAGGGCCAGAAAAAGATCTGCCATGGTTGAGAAGAGACTATTCTGAGCAAAGAATTATATCCTGAGTGCTCCTGAACCTGAATTGTAAGCTGCTATTTCACTAATAAGCCCAAAACCATTGCAGCAAACTACTGAACCAAGCAGAGAAGCAGAGTGCCGTGAGAGGGACGGTTGGTGTCAGAATTGGTAAAAAGGTTGGACGTTGGAAGCATGTCTCACCTGTGCCCCACAAAAATCAACCTTAGGCTTCCGATCTTGATTCTCCTTTTTCCTTGTGAAGTCAGAGGTTAGACGTTTCTGCCATGCCACTTTCACATACAAACTGAAGTCCTACTTCTGCACCCCTGCCCCCATTACTGTCCTGAAATTCACAGAACAACCACATAATATTTTTCTAAGTATAAAATACTTAGAACATACCTTTAGGTCCTGGTTCTCCTCCAAACTCTGATCCAGACGACTTTGGATTATAATCTGAAGGAAGGCAAAGAGATGGTTACATACTGTATGCTGTGAAGTTCAGAGGCCAATCATTCAACCAATATTTACTGAAGAACTATGATGCCAAGCTATGAACTGTGGCTACAACAGAGAACAGGAAATATCCCCTGCCCTCTAGTGAAAGTACATACATGCTCAGGATACTGCAAGTCCTTCAATGTGGATAAAGCTTAGGGTGAGTATGTGTGTGTTGGGTGCAGGGGCAAGGCAAGGAGAAACAGAAATGGCAAAGAAATGAAATTGGAAAGAAAAATTGGGGCCAGACCAGATCATGAGGAGCCAGGGATAACAATGGGGAGGAGCCAATGAAAAGTGATATGCAAGAGGGCAGAAAATGAAATTTGTCTTTAACATTAAGTTACTCTTGAAGTTTTATAAAAAATGGATTAGGGTCAGAAGAGAAACCAGCAGGAGAACTGGTTAGAAGGCCTCTAGAGTACTGGATGATGCTTGAATTAAGGTAGTCGCAATAAGAATGGAAAAAACTGGACGGAGATGTCAAAAACTTCAATTGACAAAACTTGGTGATTGGTTGGATAGAGAAAAATTAGAATGAACTGGAGGATGCTGTCCAGTTTTGTTTGGACTATTTAATAGACGGATAGTGATAAGATATCAAACACCAAAGAACATTTTAAGACAGTGGGAGGGGAGATAAAAGCTTTTTAATGTAATACACATGGAAACTAAGATGCTTATGGGACATATTAATGGAAGTAATCAGCAGGAGGTAGCATGTTACACAGACAAATCTAGAACTCCACAGGGAGAGCTGAACTAGAAATAAATATTGCAGTGGCAACATCTGAGGCAGGTGGGAAATGAGTTTAAGGCAGATAATTTCCCAGGTGAATGTATAAGATAGAAATGAGCCCATAGTGGAAGGCGGAGGCACATCATTTAAAACAGAGAATGAAAAAATGAGAAGCTTTCAAAGGAGATATGAATGTCAGCCCCTATGAGAGTAGTGCCTTTAGATCTATCTTCTTCACTGCCATATCTCCAGCACCTTGAAGGAGTTCCTGGCACCTACTCAGCATGCAGTATCTGTTGAATGAATGAATGAAGGAGTGAAGGAAGGAAGGAAATATTAGTCAATAGGGCAGTAGTGAAAACAAAGAGAGTTGAGGTCAAGGAAGAGAGCATTTTAAGAAGGTGTCATCAACAGTGTCAAAAGCTAAAAGACTAAGTCAAAATCGAGTCATTAGTTAGTGTCCATTCACAAAAGAGAGAGCTCACCAATTGTTCCTCAGGATTGACTCCTGGTTCACAGAGGGCCAAAGGCCTCTCCTGCTCATCTTCAGGTAAGGATCCATTGAGTAGTAAGGCCTGAATAACCATAAAGCAGAAAGAAGCTAATTTACTATCAGGTGACTCAGTTCTGATAATGTTTAACTTTATACCTGAGGATCCTGGGAAAACAGTGAAGGTTAAGAAATCCACCCACCTCTCTATTTCAGAAAGGAGACCTGTTGGTATTGTAGGATAAGCAGTAGACAAGGTCAGCAATTCAAACGTACCAGCAGAACTGTGGGAGAAAGATGAGGCTTTCTGTTCCCAAAAAGATTTACGGTCTCAGAAACCCTAGCTAGGTCACTATGAGTCAGAATCAACTCAATGGCAGTGGGGTTTTTTGGGGGGACTGTGCTCCATAAAATGACTGTAAAGAACCACCCTTAAATAAGACTCAATATTCAACATCACCAGCCACTCCTTAGAAACCCTATATAGGAGTGCTATGAGTTGGAACCAATTCGGTGGCACTTAACAACAACGAACCGACTCGATGGTACTTAACAACAACAATGACAAGGTAAACACTGCTCCCATCTACAAAAACAAAAAAATAATAACTAACCCAAATCCACAGATGGAGTCAATACTGACACATCATCCCTATAGAGGGAGCAGACAGCCTCATCTTTCTCCCTTGGAGTGGCTGGTGGGTTTGAACCACCGGCCTTACAATTAGCATTTAATGCTTAACCTATGGCACCACCAGGGTTAAGGTAAACACCAAACCCAACTGCCATCAAGGCAATTCTAATTCATAGCAACCTTTTATAGGGATTCTGAGACTGTAAATCTTTATGAAAACAGACAGCCTCATCTTTTTCCTACAGAGCAACTGGTAGGTTTGAACCACCAACCTTATGGTTAGCCAAACCAAACCAAACCAAACCCACTGCTATTGAGTTGATTCTGACTCGTGGCAAGCGTGTTTCTGAGGCTGTCAATCTTTTTTTTTTTTAATGTTTTATTGTGAATTATGTGATAGTTTACATGGAAGAACATTAGTTTTACATTCATCCTGTCGTATATTGTTTCATTGCCATGGTTACAGTCCCCTCCATGCATCATCAGCCAACCAAAGGGTATATACCCTGTAAGCCTGCCCCCCACCCTCACCCCTGTCGTCAGCATGCAGCCCCTCTCCCTCTCTGTGTTGTCTTATCTTTATAGTAGCAGAAAGCTTCATCTTTCTCCCATGGAGTGGCTGGTGGATTTGAACTCCTGTAGGGGAATGCTTATCCTACAGTGCTACGGTGTCCTCCAAATTCTCATTCCTTGCCTCATAAATGATTAACTGAACTGCCTACCCCCACAGAGTAATCAAAAGGCTTGTTAACCAAACTTTGTTAAGTGTCTCTCCTTTCCCTTAGGTCACTGAACTCTGGCCCACCCTCAGCCCGAGCTAGCACACAAAGACTCTTTAACTAGTGGCCCCTCACAGAAAACTGGCTGGCCTTAGTTTAAATCACTCAGATCTACTATCTGATTTGGACAGTCTTTCATCCCACTTCCCCACTCCGGGTTCTTCCTAGACTTGGCTACACTTTCTGGATTTGATTCTGATTGAAATCTCCTTGGTAATTTGATTGGTTTACTCGATATGGTGAGGACGACAAAAGATTCCAGGAGGATGGTCAGATTCCTGTCTTGGATATTTATGAAGATAGATAGAGTCATAGAGTATAAAAGGACAAGTTGTTTGGATGGTGGGAGAGGGGACAAAAAAGTTGTTTAGATACCTCCATTGTATAGATGGAGTGTCTGGGTTGGCCTCAGCTGCTAACCAAAAGTTTGAAGGTTTCAGTATACCCACATGGGCTGTGGAAGAAATCAGCACTGTGGAGGACAGTTCTACTTTGACATACACGGGAGTTGCCATGAGTTCTAACTGTCTCCATGGCAACTGGTATTACTTCCAGAAACCCACTGCTCTAACTATGGCCAGACCCTATAGGACAACCTAGAACTGCCCACAGAGTTGTCTATGTAATATCTACAGCAGCAGACTACCACATCTTTCTCCTGTGATGCAGCTAGTGGGTCCAAACTACAGACCTTCTGATTAGCGGCCAAGCATTTAACCATGACACTACTAGGCCTTCTGGTATTGCTTCGATATGTCTAATTAGTAATCTTGGGATCCTCTGGAGTTCCTTTTGTCTAATGGTCCATGCCTGTAAGGCCTCCTTCACCATTCGGTAAGTACTTGAGTCCTCTGCCCCAAAGTTCTTTGGTCCCAAAAGAAAATCCTTCTTTTCAGAATGGACAGAACACATTTCAAACTAGAGAGCGAATGAAAAGCAGGGTGACATTCGTTACTACAGCTTAAGAAAGTTTATTTTAATGAACTATTTGGTATACCACTGACTTGGGTTTGTTTGGTTTAATCATTAGGGCAACCTGGCAGAACCAGAAGAAAAACATTTGCAGAGATATCCCCATTCATTTCAACTTCCCATAAACAGCTTTTTTTTTCCTTCCCTAATTAGTATATCAATCAATAGGAGGGTGGGAGAGAATGACCATGAACCCAAGAAAGCGCAAAGGGACCCCAGTAGCATTGTGGGTTAGGTGTTGGTTTGCTTGTTTCAAAGTCAGTGGTTCACACCTACCAGCCACTCCACAAGAGAAAGATGAGGCTGTCTGCTCCCATAAAGAATTACCATTCTCAAAAACCCTATATAGGGTTACTATGAGTTGGAATCAACTCAATGGCAGTGACTTTAAGGAAGCTCAAGTTTCAGGACCTCTCACCTGTATAGGTAGGTTCCCTCCTACATCTTATCCCTAATAGAGTTCTGTCATTTTATTCTTTAAAAAGTCCCCCAAATTGTATATGCTATAAGACTCACACAATTTAGATCCACCCCTGTGGGTATCAGCTCAGTGAAAGATTTAAGAAACGTGTCCCCATTTTATGCCATGATTCTGTCATTATTCAATCAAAAGAGAAGGCTATAGAGCTCAAAATTCTGTTTCAACAAATATGAAAGGGCTTCAAAAAGGCCATGGAAAAATTTAATTATCTTTACATTCCACTGGTCCAGAAACTTTTGAAGCCTTCTTATAAGACACAAATTACATCACAAATGTTAATATAAAAAGAACACTTTCCAGTCCAGTCAATGGTTGGTCTACCAAGCACTAATTAACAATAAAATCTTGAAAACCAAACATATTTGGTCACCCCCACGGAGCTGTGCTGAGGAATGCAGACATGGGGTAGCTACAGGGCTGCCAAGAGCTAAGGAAAAGCAGCATCACAGAAATATTGACTTTAATGGCAACTGTTCACCAGACTCTGACTAAAGCAGATTAATAAATCAGAAATCCTGGATATGGCTTAGCACGCAACTTGTTCATCAACCAAAGAGTTAAGAAGCCCAGAGGATGCTGTGATCCTCTTTGTATTCTACAATGGAACTAAATTCTCATTGTGATCATGTGGCTGAGAATGAAAATGCCTCTGTTGGTAGGGAGTATTAGGGTGCTGACTTTCTGCCTGTCAATACTTTTCTGTTTCTGCCTAATCTGTCATTGGACTTCTCCCAGACGGAGAAATGCAAAGCAAACTGAGAGCCAAACGGATGGATATCTGTGTTCATACAATGTAAATTATCCTGGGAAAACCCTGGTGGAGCTCAATCTGAAAGTTCTCCAAAGAGTATGCCCTATTAAAGCACAGCATAAAAAGCCCATTCCATTAAGGTATCCCTTAATGGGGTTGGAGAAAAGCGATCTACATGGCCTCACATGATCAACGGCTTTCAAATACACAGCAAATGGGAAATCAACTCTCGAAGGGAATGTTTGGGCAGTAAACATTCCTTTAACTCCTCTCAGTTCCTGGGGTTCCTGGGGCATACATTATGCAAATAATTTTACCACAGCACCAATCTCCTTTATCCTTTGGGAGTCCTTTGTGTCCTCACCCAGTTGCTGACTGGCTGGGAGCATGCTCTCCACCGCCTGCCTGCTGCCAGAGCCACACACATAATGTGGGCTTTGTTTACGTGTCCATAAATATTTGACAATTCCAGAGGCAATGCAGTTCCCAGCACAAAGAGAAAGGAATATTCCTAGGCAATTTCAGGTTCACCAGAACACTACAAGGGATCCCCCACAAACAAGGACAGGCAGACAAAGAGAGTGGACTTGGGGGCGGGGGGGAGGGGTCATTCAGAGTAGGAAAGATGTCAAATGGATCAGTCCATCTCTAAGGGAGACTGACCAAGCTGGCACTGCAGGTATAAGAAAAACTGAAGGGCTTTGTTGCTCAAAGAAAATCTCTTCTACCTGATCAGTATATCTTGGCATCTACTTGCAAATGCATCAGGAGTGAGCTAAGTCCCTTAGACTCAAATGGAAACCTGGCAGCATTACTGGCTCTTACACCCTTCCTGCTGGAGAATTCGTAGGAGAAAAGCCCTAACTATTCACTGTGCCATTCTTTAGTGAAAGCAACAATTTCAGGTCTGTAGCAGTGTGAAATTGGGAGAAATCCACCTATGAAATAGAAAGCCAGAGAAAGGGTTTAGTAAAAAACCAGTAATGGCTTCTGGACTTACTGAAACATTAACAGCTGCGCTATGAACAGGCTAAAGAGGTGGCAGTTTGCTTCTATAAAGATTTACAGCCTTGGAAACCCTATTGGACAATTCTACTCTGTCCAACAGAGTCACTGAAAGTTGGAATTGACTTTCAGGCTTGGGGGTTTTTGGGTCCATTTTAGAGTACTCACTTAAAGGATTTTTCTGTTCTTTTTGTTATCAATTCCTTTAATCTAAACTCCCTGTTCACCTCTAACCTTAGGCAAAACTCAAACTGGTTCATTTTAAGTTGATGCTAGTGATTTAAATATAATAATCAGTACACCAGGCCAAACTAACCACAACAAAAAGAGCTACCTGTAGTCCTGATATCATTTTCTTTGCTTCCTCCATTTCTTTTTCCAAATGTTCTTGTTGTTCCAACAGCTGTTCTTCCCATGAAGTCTCCAGATAGGTTCCTGGGCTCCCTGGTCGCCAGTCTCGGGATACTGGAGAATCTATTTCCTCTACAAAGTGACAAGAGAAAGTAGAGTTCATGTTGAAGAAAAGTGAATTTCCAGCAGAAAGTGTTGACAGGTTCAGATCACCTGCCTCCCGAGCCTGTCCTCGTGACACAAACTGGACTCTCCACCAGGTGGAGTGGTGAGGCATAGGAGTTGGCTGTTAACTCCAGACTCCTAGAAGGGTGGAGTGGTGAGGCATAGGAGTTGGCTGTTAACTCCAGACTCCTGGAAGTATCAGCTACTCTCTTAGGGAAATCTATTCTCTTTGGAGCCCTGAAGAGGCAACCAGACTCCTTCTTGGGAGTCTTGGTATGGTACGCATAGATTTCACTCTTTAATCTCTAGAATGGGGATTCCCAGAGCAGGATTCTTCCCAGAGAGAAGCAGTCCTATCCGATACAACTAAAACAAAATTCCTATTGGGTTCTCTGGAGCTTTAGAGGGAGACTTCTATGGTGCTTTGACTATTTGGTCATAACAAGGGAACCCCTTTTACACATAACATTGTGGGAGTCATACAGGAAACAAACCATCAAAAGCCCACTTGCCAGAACTCTACCCAGAGAAACAGCGACACCAGAGATGGAGGAAGAGATGATGAGATGGAGAGATAGAACGGCTGGGGACTCTAGACCCAGAGAGGGAGAGGGGCTGTGTGCTGATGACCAGGGGGAAGGCTTGCAGGGTACAACCTTTGGTTGGATGATGATGCATGGAGGGGATTATAACCATGGCAATGAAACAACATACAATAGGATGTAAAGCTAATATTCTCCCATGTAAACTATCACATAGTTCACAATAAAACATTAAAAAAAAAAAAGTCCACTTGCACAAGCTGCATCTCTCTCCTGTTTGTTTTCTTTTCTTACCTTTAATATCTTTTTGCTCTGGTTTCTTCATCTATTTGTATCCTAACAGAATGCACAATCATTTGAAATAGTTAATGGATAACAGGGGGGTGCTATGATTATATAGGATAAGCACTGGACTGTAAACCACAAGGTCACTGGTTTGAGCCCACCAGCCATTCCACAGGAGAAAGATGAGGCTATTTGCTCGCTCCAAGATTTACAGCGTTGGAAGCCCTATACAGGTTCGTTATGAGTTGGAACTGACTCAACAGCACTTAACAACAACAAATGGATACTAGCATGCTAAATTCTGTGTGTTGTTGCTGTTGTTCTTAGGTGCTGCCATGTTGGTTCCAACTCATAACGACTCTACGCACAACAGAACAAAATACTGCCTGGTCCTGCGCCATCCTTAAATTTGTTGTTATCCTTGAGCTCATTGCTTCTGATGCTGTGCCAATCCTCTCCTTTGCTGACCCTCTACTTTACCAAACATGATGTCCTTCTCCAGGGACTGGCCCCTTCTGATAACAGGTCCAGAGTATGAAAGTATGAGAGACAACGTCTCACCATCCTGGCTTCTAAGGAACAGTTTGGCTGTACTTCTTTCAACACAGATTTGTTTGTTCTTCTGGCAATCCATAGTACTTTCAACGTTCTTCTCCAACACCCTAACTCAAATCCATCAATTCTTCTACAGTTGTCTTTATTCACTGTCCAACTTTCACATGCATATGAGGTTATTGAAAATACCATGCGTCAGGCATGCCTAAGTCCTCAAACTATCATCTCTGTTCTTCAACACTTTAAAGATGTCTTGTGCAGCAGATTTGCCTAATGTAAAGCATTGTTTCATTTCTTGACTGTTGCTTCAATGAGTGTTGCTTGTAGATCCAAGCATAGTGAATATCCTGCTGGTATTTACAATACCAGTGGCATAGCTTCCAGCATCACAGCAACACGCAGGTCATCACAGTATGACAAACTGATAGATGAGTGGTGGGATTCTCTGTGTAAGTCTCTTCATTAATAAAACAAGAGTAATCCTCCTGGGTTGCTGTGAAGATCAAATCTGGCAGTTTATATACTGGACCTGTGGTACTTGGTTTAGAGCAGGCCATGCTCTCCCTCCCCAGGGCCCTAGGAATTTTTCACTCAGTAGCATGACTGGTACTTTGGTTCTAATGAAGTGCTAAAGGGGACGCATGGTAGGGAAGAACTGAATTCCAGTTTTTCTTCTGAGGGTTTTAGCTTCATTATACATACCCTTATGGGTAAATAAAGCTTTATCTAAAGCACATTCTTTGCTTTTCCCATACACCCCTCATGTTTATAGAAGAAAAAGAAGAGCAACTGAGACAGAGTAAAGTGAAGTCAAAGGAGCTAAGTGCTCAGCTGCTTACAGAAATGTTGGCAGTTTGAACCCACCCAGTGACTCCACGGGAGATAGACTTGACAATGTGCGCCTATAAAGACAATCACAAAGAAAATAACCCTACTTTGTCACGTGGGGTCACTACAAGTTGAAACTGACTCAACAGCACTTAACAAGAAGTATAAACCAAGGGAACTTGTTGTAGTCAGTTCTATACCCCTCATACCAAGCCTGATGTGGATCTCCTCTTGATTCCACGGTCACAGACACCTCAGCTCATAGTGTGTATTTCTGCCCCAAATTATTTGTATAAAACAGGGATAAAAATTGTTCACTTAAACAAGGATTCTGTCTCATACCCATTTCCTAAATCATAGACAGGCAGCTGAGGAAGAGCCTGTCTAAGCTGCTGTAAGACTTTTGACAGCTAGGACATTAGCAATGGAATCCGCCAGAGTTGACCCTACATGTAGAGAGAGGCCATAGAGAGGGAGGCCTGGGCATTTAGAGGTAGAAAGTCAGGACTCCCAAACTCTCCAATCAGAAGTCTATTGTCCAAGCCAACTTGGGCAGGCTAGTAATACAGTACCTGTTCTGTTTTCTATTCCTTCAGAGGGGATAATCACAAAATCCACCTTCTCCTCCGACTGAGTTATAATGGATTCACTCTTTGCACTGTGGATTGGACTGGGTGAAGTCAGGCTATGATAGAAGGAAGGGAAAAAAAAGTAAACAGTTGTTTAAAAGCCAACTTTCACAATTTATCCCAGATAGACACTCTTATTCATCTTACTCTTACTGCCTAACACAGTACTTGGCCCACAATAAGAACAAATATTTGCTAAGAAAAGAATGACGATTTTGTTGAATGAATGAAATGAATGTTGAATGAGTGAAATACCAAGTCCCAGGATGTCTTTTCCATACCAAGTCTGACTTTGAATCTAATTCATTGAGGAGAGATTCATTCATCAGAAGTATGGGTTATTCAGCATTTAAAGAACTCAAGTTGCGTTTTGTTAATTCCCACCACCTCCATTACCCTACTGGATCCATGTTCCGTGACTAATAACACTGAGTGTCTAAGTAGCTTTGGGAGCTAAAAGTAACTTGTTTCAAAAAAAAAAACATTTTTTAAACCCATTTCTAATACAAGTTTGTTACAGCGACCAGCAGAATCAGCAGTGACCATAGCAGATCAAATCTGGGTTAATCCCAAAAGAGGGTATTCAGAGGCATGTATACAATACCAGGTTAGATAAGGAGAGGGATTGCTTGTTAGAAAAATGGTATTTACTTGACTTAATCCCATCAGAGGTATTTATATATCTACCATAAGGAGCTCTGGTAGTGTAGTGGTGACAAGTCAGGCTGCTAATCTTTAGTTTAGCAGTTCAAAACTACCAGCTGTTCTGCGGGAGAAAGATGGGGCTTTCTGCTCCTGTAAATATTTACAGCCTTAGAAACCCTGTATAGGGTCACTATGAGTTGGAACCGAATCCATGTCACACCACCACCATAGTTGCTTCTGGAGTCCTGGTGTGGCGCCATAGGATAAGCACTAGACCTCAAGGTCAGTTTGAACTGCAAGGTGAGCAGTTCAAACCCAAGAGCTGCTCCTTGGAAACCCTATACAGGGTCACTATGAGTCGGAACTGACTCGACAGCACTTAACAACAACATAGCATGTTCTGACTGTCATGCAAAATCATCTCAACAATTCTTAAATTCTCAATGTAACTGCTATCCTTAGAGCTGTTAGACTTTCAAGGACTCAGAATTTGAAATCCCTAGAATGACAGCAAATCTACAAGTCAGGACGGGGATGTGCGGATGATAAGAGAGAAAGAGTCTGTCTGAAGAGCCATTTTTCTATGCACCGCACCTTGAGAAAATGAGCCCTGAAACGGTCTCAGGGGCTGTGGGGTCTTTCCACAGACCCAGCCCCCTCTTAGGAATTCTTTCCAAATCCATCACCCAGACAACAGGGTAAGAAGCTAGGATTCACTGACCCACTTAATGTGCCCCTCAAGTCTCCCAGGCTAATCCCACAGCCATCATGATTAGGAGTTAACATTTCGTCTTCCTAGAAACCAGTAAAAATGAGACCCAGGGAAAAGTGGAGGTAGTCAAAGATTTTAAAAACTGAAACAGCCAAAGGGCTAGTGTTTCATGCTCCCAGTTGTTTAAGGGCTTTGGTGGAAATGGTCTGTATCTTCCCTATTGAAACCACAAAACTTTTCAACATTTTTTTTTTTTTTCCTTCTTCTTCTAATGAAAGGAGGCCATCTTTATAGATCTTGACCATCTTTATAGATCTACTCCCTGGACTGGCAAGAAGGTGGAGAGTGGAAAGAAGTGTTCTTCAAAAATGAGGATTGCTATACAGAGCTCTCTTAGTCATTTCTCACCACTAAAGTTATCTGCCTTCTAAGCCAACATGATTCAAGCTTCTGGAAAAGCGCTGGTCTAAGGGTGTTGCTGGAGTCCTAGAGCGGTGCTGCAGGTTAATGCACTGGACAGCAAGGTTGGTTTGAACTACAAGGTCAGTGGTTTATACTCATTCACCAGCCACTCCTCCAAAACCCTATACAGGGTGGCTATGAGTCAGAACCAACTCTAAGGCACTTAGCAACAACAGCAAGGGTGTTGTTAGGTGCTGTAGAGTCAGTTCTGATCCTATTTACAATAGAACAAAACACGGCCTGGTCCTGCAAAATCCTCACAATTGTTGGCTGTGTTTGAGCCTATTGTTACAAGTCACTGTGTCAATCCATCTCTGACAGCATCCTCCTCTCTCTCACTGACTCTTCACTTTACTAAGCATGGTGTCCTTCCCCAGGAACTAGTCCCTCCTGATCGCATGTCCAAAGTACATGTGGCTAACTCTTGCCATTCTTGCTTCTAAGGAGCATTCTGCCTGTGCTTCACTCAAGACGGATTTGCTTCTTCTTCTGCAAGTCCATAAATATATTCAATATTCTTCACCAACACCATAATTTAAAGGTATCAGTTCTTCTTCAGTCTACCTTATTCATTATCCAGCTTTCACATGCACATGAGACGACTAAAAATGGCCTGGGTCAAATGTATCTTAGGTCTAAGGGTACTGTGTCATGTATAAGGAGAATAGGTTTATGACTGCTCAGGCATTTGCCTTCTTATAGAAATGGGGATTCAAGTGTAGAAACAGGCCTGCAACAGCTGCTGCTCTTTGAGGAAAAGAATAAAACAACAGTATCTCAGCTGACAAGGTGCTATATGGATTACATGTTCTACTGCCTGCGTTTAGCTGGACTACTGTGGGGATGTGAGAGACGAATGAAGGTGGTGGTGCTGTGAACCTTGGATGCTGGAAAACTGTTTTCCTAAAATCATAGCTCCATTTCCACACACGCATGCCCAGCTCCACTTTCTCCCTCCCAAGTGACTTGTCTTCCATATATGGGCAAAAGGAGGCGGACGTCTGGATATCCAACCCTTTTGGGGGAGTGGCAGAGCAGCCAAAGGAAAACAACATTTCTCTTTTTTAAATTGAGGCTGCCAGTCTAAGAGGCCACAGAGAGGCAAGAGCAAGAAACCAGAAGGCCACGTCAAAACATACATCATCTGAGGAAGAAAAACCTTTAGGCATATAGTGATAGCAGGTACCTGCCTGCTTTCCTAAGAAGTACCTCAAGGATGAAGAAGGAGCTTTTTAAATCCTATGCTTCAAGTCAAAAGAAAGTATTTTAATGCTAATTAATTATAAGGATTAGACTTCTCCCTGATTAGTTTAAAGACCCTATTTTATAAACAAGTAATCCCCTACTTGCCAGATAATCCTCCCTGAGGTCAGGGAATGAATGATGGATTCCAAATTAGGTCAGACTGATACATTTCTCTACTCTCAGAGGTTTAACATCTCTCCAATCTGAAATTTATCAGACAAGTAATATCCCAGCCAAGATCTGCTTCCAAATTAGACTCAAATAATTTTTTTTGTAATGGGTAATGGGCAGCTAACAGAGTCCTGTCCTCGGGGAAGTCTTTTCCTTACTTAGCAGGAACACCAACAGGATAAAGGGCCAGTCCTCCAGCTAGCTAAACTCACTGTTGTAAACTATAGTGGTCATCCTGGTCAGCAGCCTGTGCTCTCCAGTGCATTGCCTGCATGCATCCCTGTCAGTCTCTGAACAACAGCATCTCACAATCCTGGCCCTGCTCCCACCCATAAATACCCCCACCTCCAAAGCCTGAAAGTGGCTTCAGCTCACCATTTGACTTGCGTCCCTCCCATGGTCCCCTTCTTGGCTCCGGTTTCAGCAAGCCTGCTTCCTTGGGTGAAGTGGCAAGCTCAGAGTCACAACGCTCCCAAATGCAGGCATGTCTGCCCGCACTGGGGCCCAAAGAACGGCTCCACCACGGGCAAGCTAACTACCAGAGCTGCCTGCTCCAATCACTGAAGAGAATAGGTAGGACAGAGAACCAAGCGTCTCGGCTCCAGAGATGGGGATGCTCCCGGGTCTCAAGCGCGCTGTCCCCGCTCAGGCACTGCAGCAGCTCGGCGGAAGCCGCCTCTTTTTGCAGTCTGCGGGTCCCTGGTTGCTGCATCTTGATTTGTTCGGCAGTGCAGCTGCGAACATCTCCCAAGGCGAAGGCATCTCAACCCATCTCCAACCGGGAGAAACGGATCTAGTGGCTGCCGCTCCGCTGTGGAGTCCCCGACACCGAGCGTGCGGGTAACCTACAGCTCCGCGTTCCCCTCTGTCCTCCCCTCCTGCCCCCTCCCCTCCCTACCCAGGCTGTCACACGCGGCCAGCTGCGCTGGGCTCGGACCCAGCCCGGCGCTCCGCCCGACCACTGGAGCTTGGGCAAGGTAAAGGGGGGCAAGGGACGGGAAGAAAGGGGGGGGGGGTAGCGGAGAGCAAGCAGGCCGCCAGTCGGTAGAATTACAAGGAGCGGTCTGGTGGTCCTTGGCCTGAGAATCCCAGGCTGAAAAAGGCAGTCTATCTCATCTGACCCCTCGGTGCATACAGACGTCTGGGTAGGTTCACCACTACGCGCAGCAGGGCCCGCTCCCCGCGAGAGGGAGGAGGCTGGCGGGTGGAGACTCAGGGACTCCTCCCGAAACCCTCCGAACGTCTATCTCCTCCCACCTTTTCCACAGCGTTTCGTGTTTTCTCTTTTCCCAACTGAGAATCATCTTGCTAGGATACAGTGAGAGGCTGGCCTGAGGTTTAGGAAGTAACAAGTGGGCAGTGTCCGGTAGGGCGACTCTGGAGGTGCAATGAGAAGGGGATGAGACACCAAAGACTATCTTTCTTATCTTTTGCGTGACTACTCCTTGTCCTAAGCTGCTTCTCGAGTCTCCTGACCTCTCCAGGGGTCAAGAGATCACAGTCATTAAATGGGGTACCCCTTGTGCTGGGAGGCTGAATATGTGAAGCAGCAGTAGGACCCCTTCTCCCTTCCCTGGGAGTTCACTAAGGAAAACGGGTCACGGAGTGCACCACATTAGAAGAAAATGGCAAAATAAAAAAGAGTGAGAAAAAAGAAAGGAAAATGCAAACTCTTCTCCTCAGAGCCCTTTTCTAGATGGCACACCATCAGTCCACAGCAGCCCAATTTCCAGGGGGTACCTAATTCTTACTGTCTCCTGACTAAATGCCCCTGCCAGGGAGGAAGGAAAAAACCCAGATTTTTCTCTTCTCTCTTCTGTGGCCAGACCAGTGAAACGAATGCAGGAAAAATAGATGTTGTTATGCCTACAAACATCCTTTGATTCTGGACCACGTGATAGTGATAGTCTAAGCAGCAGGCGAGGAGGAAATAGTTTAAGTTCTCATTAAAAGCACACTATTGCTTAATGAATCTGGGATTTCCTTTTGAGTGATAAAAATGTCTTGGAACAAAATAGAGGTGATTGTTGCATAACATAATGAGTGTACTAATGTCTCTGAATTGTATGCTTTAAAATGGTTAAAGATTCATTTTAATGTTACATGTGAATTCTACCTCAATAAATAAACTCTTTAAAAAGCATACCTTTTAAATGTTAAAAAGAAAGCCTACCAATGGCACACTATATTAAAGTGCTGGAAAGGATTCCATGTGACCTCAATACAGTCAGGAAATGGATTTTTTTTTTCTTTTTAAGGAAAAAGAACAGGAGGAACAAATGTATAAACTACATAAAAGACAAAGAACAATTAGCTAGACTTTAGAACAGATTAAGATGAGTTTGAGTAGGAGACAAGAGGTCATACGCCTTTCTCCTCACAGACTATCTCATTACCCAACATTTTGCATCACTGCCCATAGTAAAAAAAAATTTACTATCCTCCTATTTTGTTCATTAATCTTGTACAACTGGCAGTACCAGACACTGAGATGCAAGGTAAATGCAATGCTGACTGTGATGGTTAAGATGATGTGTCAACCTGGCTGGGCTATGATGGTCAGTGGTTTGGCAGTTATGTAATAATAGAGCCATCCTCCATTCTCAGAGAACATCAATTTCACTTTTAACAACCTGGTATTTGGAACCTAAGGAGCTCTGGAAGTGTAGTGGTTACGAATCGGGCTGCTAACCTCAGGGTCAGCAGTTCGAAACTACCAGCTGTTCCACAGGAGAAAGATGAGGCTTTCTGCTCCCGTAAAGATTTACTGCCTTGGAAACCCTGTACAGGGTTGCTATGAGTTGGAACCGACTCCACGGCACACAACAACAACAATTTGGAACCTAACTATGTCAAGTGAAGAGAGGGTGTGAAAATATAAATATGATGCAGCCACAAAATGAAGTTAGTATGCAAGTTGAAAAAGAAAATCCTCACTACTGGGCCAACAAATACAATCATGATAAACAGAAAAAAGATTGGAGTTGTTACAGATTTCATTTTGCTTGCATCCACAATCAATGCTCATGGAAGAAGCATTCAAGAAATCAAGTGACTTATTGTCTTGGGCAAATCTGATGTAAAAGACCTCTTTGAAATGTTAAAGAGCAAAGATGTCACTTTGAGGACTAAGGTACACCTGACCAGGTATTTTTAATTGCCTCGTATGCATGTGAAAGTCGAACAATGAATAAGGCAGACAGGAGAATTGATGCATGTGAATTATGGTGTTAATGAAGAATATTAAAACTACCATGGACTGTCAGAAGAACCAACAAATCTGTCTTGGAAAAAGTACAGCCAGAATGCTCCTTAGAAGCAAGGATGCTGAGACTTGGTCTCTGGTACTTTGGACATGTTGTCAATAAGGACCAATCTCTGGAGCAGAACATCATGCTTGATAAAGTGGAGGGTCAGTGAAAAAAGAGGAAACTCCCCAACAAGACGGTTTCATAAAGTAGCAGCAACAATGGGCTCAAACACGTGAACAAGTGTGAGGATGGCACAGGACTGGGCAGTGTTTTGTTCTGTTGTGCATAGGTTCATTGTGAGTCAGAACCAACTCAACAGCACCTAACAACAACAACAACAACAAACAAGGTATCATGATCTGGGAATGTGTTTATAAGGGCATGAACCAGGAAAGTAATTTTTTTCTGCCACAATACCTGTTGTTGATGAGGCTTTTGTCAGAGCACTGTACCCTGTTTTGGTCTCTGCACTTGCCTCTAAGGAACTGACTTTCCATTAAATCACAAACAGCATTAAACTACTCAAATGCATACTACTAATCTGCCACAAATCCCAGCCCTATAAATGAAAGTTGGAAACATCCTAAATGCTCTCAGGCAACTTTGCTTAATGTTCTCTCTTGCCATGAGCTTTATGCAGCCTTCTAGGGCAATAACTCAGAGTTACATCAAGCTCAAAGACAGTATAACAGAACTGGATGTTATAAACTCTGGCAGCTCATATACAAATACAAGAACCACTGGGCTGGCCCTCTAAGGTCCCAGTTATGCCCCCATGTGACCACAGCCAAGCACTGACACTGTAGCTCGGCACAAGGCACAAAGCTTCCATACAGAGGAAATTCGCCAGCCCTCCCCCACCCCCCAGCTCATCCATCTACTAGCACAAAATTAAAGCCAGACATAAACTGAAGGACAGGGAAAGGGCTGAGGTGCCTCAACGCTTGATGTGTTACTACTTGAAGCTGAAACAATGAGAATCCCTGGGGATTCAGCTTTTTTAATAACTAGTTTTACTTTTAGCTTTCTGTGATAAATAACATGAGGCCACAATTACCTGGAACAGCTGGATTCAGATGGGGACCTTTGCCTTTCATACTGCTGAACGAGCGCTCGTACACTCCAGTATGGATTCTCAATTTCCTCATCCAAGCTGCTGTTCCTTACATCAGAGGGCACGAGCAAAGGAGAGAGTGTTAGTCCTGCGGTGCAGTCCAGTTCAGTTAGAACTAAGAGAAATGCTATTCTGGGAAGTGCTATGTATACAAAGATGAAGAAGGCCAAAGCCCACTGCTTTAAAGACATGTAAAAACTAGGAAGGAACGTCACAGAACTGTACATGGAAAAACTGTGGAACTGGTACATGTTCTGCTGTGTATATTCTCAACAACAACCACCAAAAAATAAATAAACCAAACCCATTGCCACAGAGTTCATTCTGATTCATAGAGAGCCAATAAGACAAAGTACAACTGCCCCATAGAGTTTTCCAAGGCTGTAGGTAATCTTCAAGGAGTGCGAGTGGTATTGTGTGGAGTCCTGGTGTGACACTGTGGGTTAATGTGCCAGACTGCAGACTGCAAACCCGTTTGAACTGCAAGGTTGGTGGCTGAAGCTTACCAGTAGCTCCTTGAAAACCCTATGCAGGGTCGCTATGGGTCGGAACCGACACAATGGCACTTAACAACAACAGTGGTGTTTTGAAGGAGCTCTGGTAGCGTAGTGGTTACCAATCAGGCTGCTAACCTCACGGTCAGCGGTTCGAAACTACCAGCTGTTCCACAGGAGAAAGATGAGGTTTTCTGTTCTTGTAAAGATTTACCATCCTTGGAAACCCTGTACAGGGTCGTTATGAGTCAGAACTGACTCCACAGCACAGTACCACCACCACCACCACCACCACCAGTGGTGTTGTGAGTTAAGAAGGAGCTTCTAACCAAAAGATTGGTGGTTCAAACTCACCATGTGCTCCGAGGGAGAAAGATGAGACAGTCTACTTCCGTAAGCATTTACAGACTTGAAAACCCTAAACAACAGTTTTACTCTGTCCTGCAGTGGTATTATGAGTCAGAATCGACTTGACACCTGTGAGCTACATGTTGGGTTGCTAAGCTCAAGATCAGCACTCTGCAGGAGAAAGATGAGGCTATCTGCTCCCGTAAAGATTTCCTGTCTCGGAAACGCAAAGGGACAGTTCTACTCTGTGGTACAGGGCTGCGATGAGTCAGAATTGATTTGATGGCAGTGGTTTTTCATCTTTACAGCTGCCTCACACTGCCTCATTTTTCTCCCACAGAGCAGCTGATTGTTTGGTTGGGAGTCAGGCGTTTTAACCACTGCACCACCAGAGCTCCTTACAACAATAATCAAAAATAAATATTAAAAACAACAACCAACAACTAGTAGGGAAAATAGGCACAAAAACAAGTAATTGCACCAATCTGTAACAACTCAGGTTCATGTTCTCCCTCAGCAAACAACCCCAAAGCATTGATTCTCCAGGACAGCCAGAGTACAGACTACCACAGGTCAATGGAACACTGCCCCCACGTGTCCCCTAGTGAAAAAACACACGGTACCAAAGAAACATGTTTAAGTCTGGGCATCAGAGTCAAAAACTACATGACCCCTTTAATTCCTGCTAACTGCAAAATAAACAGCTCTAGAAGAAATGGTTTTTCTCTTTGGGAGTGCCTTCCCTACCTCCACTCTGTGCTCTCTTTGCAGTGTAAGGACAATTTGCATGCTAGTTCCACTATTGCACTGCTATCAAGTAAGAGAAGAAATATCAGAAAGATGGACCCGCTCTCCATCCCCAGCTTTCCACCCTTACCTCTGTCTGTATCGAAATACATCCCGTCCTGACCGTGACATGTCATGGCATACATCGGCCAGAGCAGCAGCTGCGCCTTGTGCCACAGCAGTGACACAGTGTGGTTGGTGACTCTGCAGAGGGGTGCTGGAGTCCCGTCCTTGGCTCACCATCCTGCTTGAGCCAGGTTTGAAGTGAGCTGCCAAAGCAAGCACCAGCCTCATGATAGACTTGAGGTTCCCTTCCACGATATCTGTGGGACAGAAGAGACCAGGGACGGAGGGGGTGGAAGGCACACTCTTTCATCGATTTGCTATTGATATGGGCAAGCCAGGTGGTTGAGGTTCTCTGTCCCCACAAAATTTTTCATCAGGAAGAGACAATAATAAAAGGCATGAGAACATTTTACAATAGGAGAAGTACGGGGTTCTGTGGGAACTCAGAGTGGTGGTGGTGGCTATGTGCCGTGGAGTCGGTTCTGACTCATAGTGACCCTGTTCAGGGTTTCCGAGGCTGTAAATCTTTATGGGAGCAGAAAGCCTCATCTTTCTCCTGCGGAACAGCTGGTAGCTACGAACTGTTGACCTTGCGGTTCATAGTCTGATTCATAACCACTACGCTACCAGAGCACCTTATCCAATCTAGAGGGCTCTGGGAGGGATTCCTAGAGAAAGTGAGCTCTAAATTAGGACTTGATTGACTAACAGTAGTTCATCAGAAGAGAAAAGAGAAGGAAGGAGTATATTGGGAAGAGGGAACATTTTCGAAGGTCAGAGGTAAGACAGAGCATGATATAATAGAGCTATGCTGGCCAATATGGTAGCCACTGGCTACATGTGGCTGTTGAGTCTTAAAATGTGCCCAGCCCATAGTGAAATGTGCTGCAAGTTTAGTACTTAGTTAGCACATACATAAAAATGATGGTAATGATCTCATTAGACTTAGTACAAAAATGAATGCAAACTAGCTCATTAACAATAACTTTTTGTATCAGTTACATGTCAATCACAAAATCACTAATTATATATATCAAGTTAAATGAATTATCTCTTAATATTTATATTAAAGTTAATAACATCTTCCTGTTTGTTTTTCTATTGTTGTTGTTCTTGGGTGCCGTTGCGTCAGTTCTGACTCACTGGCCCCATGTGATAAGAGTAGAAGTATCCTGTGGGGTTTCCAAGGCTGAAATCTTTACAGGCGAGCAGATCACCAGGTGGTTCTACCAGGGAGCTGCTAGTGTGTTTGAACTCACCAAGTTTTTAGTTAGCAGCCAGGTACTTAACCATTGTGCCACCAGGGTTCCCTAGTAGCTATCTTTAAAATTACATATGTCACAAGAACTGAAAGCAGGTCAGTGCAGCTAGAAAATGGAGTGCAAAGGGAACAACAGGGCAGGGTAAACCTGCAGTGGAGTCAGGTCAGGGTATCAGGTCACCAGGGACATGTTAAGTCATATGAAGGACTTTGGATGCTATCCTAAGGGTCCTCTGATGCAAAAGAGTGGCATGAGCAGAAAGGTCATTCTGGCTTCTATATGGAGAGCAGATAGCAGGGGAACAAAAATGAACAGAGCACGACTAGTGAGGAGGCTGCTGGACTTCTGCAGGTCAAAGGTAATGATGTCCTGAATGGCACTGTTCTCTCTCGAAATAGCCAACTTTAATGGACCAGATTCCCAAGCCCACTCCATGTGGGGACCATATCACAGATACTATAGCACTTTAAATTCTGCCCAAGAAAAAAAGAGGGGTGCAGCCAGGAAGCATGTGATAGGTCTGGTGAAAGTTAATGTAAGGACACTGGTAAAATTTGAGTTAAAATTTTTTTTCATAGCCTTTTAAAATAGGTGAGAGGCTTGGAAACAGAATGGTTGATAGCCTTTACAGTGCACTGACAATGGCATCTGCCTCATCTGAGTGACCCCAAAACAGAGAACACTCATAATCCACCATCATGAAAGGAGGATTCCTGGACATGCCCAGACAGTACAACAGAAGGAGAGGCAGAAATAGCAAGGGTAACGAGCCTGTGTCCGCTAAGGACATCCACGCAGTTTCTTCCTTGAAGCTTAGGCTCAAAATGAACTGAGAAGTGTTCTCTTCTAGCAACCCTACCTGAGTTAGGAATGTGGCTACAGGAGAGGTCATGAGCCCCTTTCATCATGCCTGGAATGTTCTGTGATATCCAAAAAAATGCTATAAAATTTTTTCCTTTTGAAGAAATAAAAATGTAGGCTCTGGTATTTTGAAATAATACTCAGTTATGAAACCCAAAGAACTTGAAAAATGTCATCTGTCTCCATTTATGATAATTTAAGCGAGACAACCTAAAATTAATATCCCAAATGTGTAATTTCTTCTCCAGTCGTTCACTGTCCTACACACACATACACACACACACAGAGCAAACCTGAATTCAATTGAAATGAATAGAGAATGTGTATCTCCATGTAGCTTTCCAAAGCACTTAGAATTTGATGATCACTCAAACTAAGAAGACAGTTTTCTTTATGGAAATATGAGGCCAAGGGATTCATTCTACCCCAGTCTACCCAGAACCCTTGGTTTGTTCTGAGGCTGGCAATCACTGGGTGAAGCCACATGTACTGTATCAAAAATGTGATGAGGCTCTGACCTTTAGCAGAAGTCTGGTGCATACGAATCTTTTTGGAGGCCACAAACTGTAGCACTTTCTCTACGTTGTTCTTCATCTCCTGTTGGTTACTGGGACTCAGCTGTACCCCATTCAGCTTTTCTCCTGCTGTGAAGACAGAAAAAAAAATGTATGCATTTATAGAAAGGCTTATCATCAATGTTTCACAGTAGCCAGACATAGAGGAAGGAGGGATGTGAGGTGAACACTATTATAAAGAATTGTAAATAAATACGCAAGTGAGATAAGCCCTGGTGTTTGTAACTTAAATGAGGAATAGAAAAATCAAAGTCTTTTGGGGAGCCTTCAAAATTGTATAATGTATGATCAGGGGCCTATGAAATTGTCATGTATACTTTTATTTATTCAACAAATATTCATCAAGTAACCAATCACTGTGTGCCGGACATTGAATGACAACAGTGAACAAGACAGACAAAATCTATAACAACATAGTTAACATCCTAGCAGGGGTGACAGATAACAACCAAGGTAACAAGTAAGTGTTAAATACAATTTCAAGTAATGATGAGTATTCTTAGACTGTGATCATGACCTATCTGATAATGCATTTGGATGGAGACTTGAATAAAGCAAGGGGTGTTAAGATTTGAAGAGGAAGCATTCCAACTAACAAACTGCTGATGCAAAACCCCAGGGTGATAATGAGCTCCACTTCTCTGAGGAGAAAGCAACAAAACCAGTTTGGCTGGAGTCCAGTAAGTAAGGCATCGAGTCCTGGGAAAGGCTAGAGAGGAAAGTAAGGCCAAGTCCTGAAGGGTCTCTTAGATCTTGTAAAGAGTTAGAATTCTATTCTAAGTGTGATGGGGAGTCAATGAAGAGTCTTATGGAAGGGAATGAAGGAGTGACATGATCGGACTTATGTCTGTGTGGACATGGGTTATGAGGAGAAGAGGGAGAACAATTAGAAGGACAACGAAAACAATCAGGGCAAGAGAATGGTGGTTTGGGCTAGAGTAGAAGAAAATGACTGGTAAGAAGTCAGATATCGGCTATATGTTTAATATCCAGCCAACAGCACATGTCAAGGGTGGTCTATGACATATGAGGAAAAAAGAATAATCTAAGCGGGTGAACACTAGTACCCTGTTACTGAAATGAAAGGACCTGAGGCTTAGGAGATTGGTGGGGGAAGACAATCAAAAGTTCTGGTTAGGATGTGTGAAGTTGGGTGAAGGAAGTGAGATATGTCTAAAGCTGAAAGAAAAGTTCAGGGCTAAAGATACAAATTGGGAAGAAAGCACTTAGGGGCAGAGAAACATCAGAGGCACAGACTGCCAACACAGAGAGGCCAGGAAGGAGAAAAAAAGCTAGCAAAGCAAATAGGAGGAGTGAGCTAGTGAGGTAGGAGGAAAAGCAGACGCCTATAAGGTCTTGGAAACCAAGTAAAGAAAATGCTTGAAAGAGGAGGGAATGGTCCACACTGTGTCAGATTCTGTTAAGTTGGAAAAAATGAGGACTGTATGCTGGCCAGGGGATCTGACAAGCTAGAGTACGTGACCAGGAAGAGAACAGTTTCAGTGGAGCAGTATGACTGGCGGAGGCTTGGTGGCGCTATAGGATAAGCATTGGACCACTAACCGCCAGTTGAGCAATATGGTGCTCCGCGGGAGAAAGGGGAGGCTTTCTGTTCCGGTAAAGATTTACAGGGTCGCTATGAGTCAGAATCAGCTTGATAGCAATTGGGTTTGTTTGTTTATTTGGAGTGAGATCAAAAGCTTGATGTGCGTGATTTAAAGAACAAACAGGAAATAAGGATGTGACTTCAGTTAGTACACACATCTCTATTAAGTTTTTCTATATAGCAAAGTCATAAAGAATGCAGAGTTTAAGAACTTGGGCTTAGGGGGAATAAGAATACATATTCATAACCGCTTATATATGCATAGAATAGCTCTAGAAAGAAATGCACAAAACTGCTAACAAAAAACAGGTAGCTGAGGTGGGGTGGGGGTGGGGAGAAGATAGTTAAAAAAAAAAGGCTTTAGACATTTTACCCTAGTCTACCTTCTGGATTTTCTACCAGTCTAACTTACACAAATAAATATAAAACGAAATGGTTTTAAATGGACTTTGAAATGAAGGCAGACCTAGGTCTGTACCTCTTCTTTGCCACTTAGGGTTATGTGACTGTGGAAAGTTGCTTAGTTGCCCTAAACGTCATAAAAATAGCAAAGAAGTAGAATTCCGTTATCAGAATTAAATCAATCAAACTAACATGTTAGCATGATGCTTAACATATACTAAGTGCTCAATGAATGAATGAATGAATTTGTATAGGCTCTCTCTTTTAAGCTTTAGTTTTCTGAAGATGGGGATAACATTACCTATTTCCCTAAGGTGTAATGATTAAATGTTACTCAATTAAATAGGACAAAGTATTCAATAAATGGCAGCTGCTATTACCACTATCATTATAAATTAATATACTCTGATGGAATCATGAATGTCCCAATGAGATATTCATAGATAAGCTGCCTGCTTCAAACCTGGCTCCTTCCACACCTCTCACAAGTCCCACATCTCTCAAGGACTCCAAGTCAGTCAATAAATGTTTGAACACCTATTATGTGCCAGGTACTTGGTCACATGGTAAGGGTTTGTGGAAAGAGAAAATAAAACAAAACAAAAAATGATACTGAGTCTCCTCTTAAAGGGATCAGTCTATATAGGAAATAGATAAATCATCACCACAAAGAATTACCATTCAGTGAGACAAAAGATAACAGAGCTATGAACAAATGCTGTGGAGATAAAATTATGCTATCATCGAATGAGAGAGATCAGCGACAACTCTAGTGCTTCAAGAGCAGAAGCCCTTTGGTGAAGCACTGTGGTGGTTGTTATAATTTGTTGTTTTTGTGTGCCATCAAGTTAATTCCCACTCCTCGTGACCTATGTGACACAGTAGAGCTGGCCCATCACCCAGAGTCTGAATACACTAGTGAGACTGACTCTATTCCAGTCTTCCCAGGGGCTCTTGTGCTCATCATCATATCCTCAAGTGCCTGGCACACAGTATTTATTGATTCATAAATGAGTGAATTAACCTTCGGCAAAGTGCTTTAAGTTTTCTCTACTTCCAATGCCATATATTTTTAAGAAGAAACAACCTGCTCTGAAAGGTCTATGGAGGAAAAAGAAGGTCATGTTCTAGTCTAGCAGAGTCCCGGGCCAACTGACCAACAATCTCGATGAGGTATGCCAGGATCACCCCATCCCGGAGGTCCTGCCGCAGGTCCTGCACTGGCTTCACTGCCGGCCTCTTCCTCAGCTGTGCATTCACCCAGGCCACATAGGCCTGCAGCTGTTGCTGGAAAACGTAAGGTGGAAATAAGGGAAAGGTTCATGTTAGTCTTATCCTCTACCCTATGCCCTTGAAGGAAGCATTTCAGATTGGGCAATGGTGGGCAATCTATTCCCAGAGAGAGATGATTGTAAGGAAGGAAAGAAAAGATGGTAACGGAGTAAGACATTGGGGCATTGTTCTAACATTCTCCAGCTTTATGCTAATCTCCAGAGTCCAGATGGGGCACTGTAGAATAAACACTGGGCTGCTAACCAAAGGTCAGTGGTTCAAACCCACAAGCTGCTCCCAGGAAACCCCATATAGGGTCACTATGAGTCGGAACCAGTTCGACAGCACTTAACAACAACATGCTTATCTTCAGGGCCAAGCCAACCTCTGATTTGGCATTAGACACAGGTAAGCAGATGACCATTTTAATGACCATAACTTTAGCTTTCCTAGAATTGTGCTCTAATGACAAGGGATGAAGGTTGGTCCCAGAAACATGGCAAGTTTGGGTGTCATAACAGCTGTCAATGACCCACTCTGCTTGTCAGGAACAATCAGTCATGTACTATGTGCACAATGGGCTGTGGCATTCGTGAGAATTGATGTTTGGGAACCAGTAAAAATAATAAACTAAGCTCAGAACTGCCTCTCCCATAGCTGCTTTCTTCAGAATCAGATTTAAGTGGAATCGTTATACAGTCAACCCAGGATTTATTCTCTTGAGCCCATAATCCTGGGATTGATACAGAGTTGGGTTTAATCTGTGCTTTAGGTTGTCAAAGAGGATCTGGGTTACCTAAAACCTAAAGAAGAAACAAGAGAGGCTCTGAACACTGGGAAGCACTTGCATTTATTTTTTCAGATAAAATCTAGGGCCCAGTATCAGATCAGAGCCCTGTCAGGTCTACATAGGGACACATAACTCACCTCACCACTCAGGTAACCTTGTATATGGCATGATGTCCATTAAATGGATCTTGAATTCGGGTGTTTATTCGGGTTATCTGGTCAGAAAGTGGACATTAAATATCAGACTAGTACATGAGCAGTCCAGGCAGTCCAGCTCTGTGTGATTTCTGTAGAAGTCACTGAACCTAAAAATAAAGCTCAAGGCTAACTATTTCTATATTAATTTATAATGTGGAAATCTGATTTCCAATCTTCAAGTACTTCCTCAACAAACTGATGATTGTTGTTGTTGGTAAGTGCAGTCAAGTTGGTTCTGACTCATAGCAACGCTGTATGGAGCTTCCAAGGCTGTAAGTCTCTGGTGGCATAAAGATTACATCCTCAGCTGCAAACCAAAAGGTCAGTGGTTTGAACCAATTAGTGGGCTTCATAGGAAAAAGACTTGATGATCTGCTTCCGTAAAGATTACAGCCTAGGGAACCCTGTGGGGCAGTTCTACTCTGTGATATCACTATGAGTCAAAATTGATTCAACAGCACACAGCAACAACAATAACTATTAATTGGTTCTTTCTGAGCATAAGCTAAATCTTTATTATTTTCTCTGTCAATTTGTGGGAATGAGTAAAGTTGTTTGGAAGACTGTGCTAGCTGATCTGTCAGCTATTAGCAAACTGCAGGGAGCGCAATGACCAATGGGAGGTGAGGAAGGGATGTAACAGGTATTGAGTACCTACCATGAACCAGGCACTGTTTTTTGGTGTTTTATATTTGCTTTAGTGAGTCAACTAATGCTCCTGGCACAGGGTCTAACATACAGAAGATGGTTATTATTATTTTCATCATAATCACTGAACGTAGTTCTCACAGAAATGCTAAAAAGTTATTATCATTCTGGATGGTACTCAGAACAAAACAAGAAAAAGACCGAAGGAGGCTTTGTGGCTGCATTGTTGGTGGAGTCAAGTGCCATTTTATAGATGAGGTTCAAAGGGGTTACAGATGAGCAGGCTTCCAAAAATTCATGGGAAATGGTATTCTTCAATGAACTTTTTAAAACTCCCTCAATCTTCTTCAATGGCCCCACAGGCAGGACATAGAAGATCTGGTGCCAAAATCCAGAAAATATCCAAACGTTTACCCATGGCCTCTTGTTGCTATCCAACTCATTCCATGGAACAGAGGTGGCTGTATCTTCTACCTAACACAGGCCAGACATCTGTCCCCAGGAAGAGGTGATAGATACTCCAAGGTCTGCTCCCTCTGCACAGCCAAAGCACTGCCTGAGGTGGGTCAAGCAAAGACCACTCTAGTCTGGGAGAAAGGAGTGAAGACCAGAAAAGGCACTGAGAGTAACAGCTGGGATCTTATTACCTGGCTTATGGATAAAACTCCTAACTAATCTCCCTGTATCTACTATTAGTCTTCAATCCACCCTAGAATCCTTCCTGGCTTCTCATTATCCTCAAGATAAAAACCAGTCTCCTTAGCTTCCATTCATATCCATCATGCTCTAGTCCAACTACTGCCACCATTCGCCTTGCACATGCTCAGCTCTTCCTTCCGGTTCCCTGAATGCATATTTTCCAGCCACTCTACCTCCTCGTGCACACCATTTCTCCATGAGTCTCAGCCCCAGCATCACCAGTTCTGACCTCTGACTCCTCCCCTCCCCTTCAGCTCAGATTCTGATTTCTGAGGACTTCCTGTGTCCTACAATCAGTTCACAATAATCACTTCAACACTAAATGGGTGCAGGAGCCCTGGGCCTTCAAGAAACCTTGCATTGAAGAAGGTAAGAGGAAGAGATGCAGGCAGGCTGTTGGAAAGAAGTCCTAGGACAGAGCAGCATAAGATGCCTAGATAGCCCAAACAGGCTTCAGAGAAGTATTCTAAAGAAAACAGAGGAGGCAAAGGGGACTGTGAACTTAAAGCCACTAAGATACCCTCAAAGACACTCTATATAAGGATCACAACAATTCCAAAGATTAGATTCAGAGTAACTCGTTTGAATCAAGGAATCATTTGTCACATTTCATCAGATTCTAACTTAAGATGACTGCAAAAGTTAATTATGCAGAGTCAGACAGGAGGGAGTTGCTTTTTTTTTTTTTTAAATGAAAATAACTGTATTTACTTAAAAAAATCAAGAATGTCAACAAAACAGCTGCAGCTTTGGTTGTCGTTGTTTTTGATTTTTTTTTTGCAGTTACAGAGTAGTATTCAGTTGTTGTTGTTGTTAGGTGCCCTCGAGTCAGTACTGACTCATAGCAACTTTATGCACAGCAGAACACGAAACACTGCCCGATCCTGGGCCTACCTCACTACCGTTGCCACGCTTGAGTCCACTGATGCTGCCACTTGGCCAATCCATCTTGCTGGGGGTCTTCCTCTTTTTCTCTG